TCTACATCTTTCTTTAAACATGGTACCCAGGATCAGACACAGGCATGACCTCAGCAGCACAGAGCAGAGCAGAACCGTTCCTTCTTGGGATGAGGGTTAGTGCTCATGTTTAGCATTGCTGGCTTGTGTTCGGCTTGTGCTCAGCAAAAGCCCTCAACACTTCTTCACATAAACTCCTGGCAAGCCCCATCTCCTTACCATTGTGCTTTGATTCTCTGTGTCTAACTTCACATTTATTTAATTTTCAATGGAACATTTTTTTCCTTTCTCAAGGAGTCCAGGATTCCCTTCCTCTCTCTTTTATCCCTGCAACAACCTGTGAGGTGCGTATGGTAGAAGAAGCCGCGGCTGGTCCATAGTCACCCAGTGAGCTGCCTGGCAAGATGCCTCCCTCCCAACCGCTCTTCTGCACTGGCTCTCCGAGGAACTCCATAGGGCTGGCTGTCATGTCGGGCTCCATCCCGCCAGGGCCATTTGCAATCCTGGCCCGTCTTCCATGGTGTTAGCTGTATGCCATACAGCAAGTTGCTAAGCATGTCCTCCACAGCCCCATCCAAACCATGTATCGGAATTGATCTACTGTTCCATATCCATGCTGTCGTCTCTCCAAGGTGGTTCTCGTGGTTCTCTCATCCCTCCATTTTATCCTCACAAAGCCCTGTGCAAAAAGTGAGGCTGAGAAATAGGGATATGATCCGAGGCTGGCTGGGCACTGCCATGTTGCCTGAGGGCAAGTGGTAGGGATTATTCACGGGTTGAACAGACAGTGGGTTACTTGTGGGTACTTTAACCATCAGACAAACCTTGGCACCCATGGTTTGCTAAATGACACTACAAGCCTCAGCAATACCCAGCCAGGCTTGTGTACGCATGATGCCATGTGCCGCAGCTCCTTATGGGTAAATTAACCCACAGGGAGCTGTTGCAGCATGTGAACTCGTCCAGTGAGCGGCACCAGGTTATCTCGTGGGCTCCTACAAGTGGGAGAGAATTTCGGACGGGGTCTCCCCAGTCTGGGTATGCCCGACAATCTACACAGCACCACTTCCTGGGAAGAGCCCATGAACATTTGGCGGGCTTCCCCTCTGCAACAGGCCTCATAACTGGACGAGGCTGGGCAGGGTGGGGGGAGGCCAGAATTCACAAGCCCGCTTTGTCTCCATGTGATGTTAATCATGTGGAGTAAATAACGGGGCTTAAGGCACATGCTGCAATTACTTATTAACCATTTTGGTCTCTATATTCCAAGGAAGAGTGGGAAAGTATATTGCCTTCGCTGCATACCCTGAACGATGATCTTAACTCGGAGATTAGCTCAGGAAAAACAGAATATTTTTTCCTTAATTTGTTTCCCTCCGCTTAAAAGTTTCCAAGGCTGCTGGCCTAGAGCTCTTTGTGCCCCTCTTTTAGCATTTTTCTTTTTCCATAAAGAGGCAATAATTAAAAAGGCATAATAGCACACGGCTCACTAGGTGAGCTTTGGCAGACCAGCCCCCTGGATGTTTTTCATTTTGCATGTTTACTCGGCATCCTTCTACTTGCTAGTGCCTGTTCTCTGTGTCACACACGCACACACCCATGCACATGCACACACAAGCGCTTGGTGGTACAAAAGAAGCACGTCTTGGGGAGGAAGCGAACACACAGATTTGCATCAGCAAAGCCTCGAGGAGATGCGGGATGTTCCGAGCATGTCAGCAGCACGTCTCACATGAACGGGAGTCACCGTGCGGGGGGTGGAGGGGGTGCAACCGATGCATCGTTCAGCCTGTTCCGTGCGCGTGCGGCATGCATGTTCTCCTCACCCTGCCAACACCCAGGCAGCGGAAACCACACGAGAGGCGAGCACCATGCGAGGAAAACCTCAGCATGGATGGAACGAAGTTACGTGTAGGGTCGCTCCACTGGCCTGGCTCTGCCGGATGATTATTAGTCAGTCTGGACCTGACACTGGCAAGTGTCCCACTGGCTCTGCACTTACATTCACTAATGAAAACCAGAACCACCAGGCCACAGATAAGTATACTTTCTCTCAGGGATGGTCGGGAGATGACTCGCCAGATGTTTTGGACTTCAACTCCCAGAAGCCCCTGCCAGCATGGCCAATAGTCAGGGATGCTGGGAGTTAATGCACAGACCTTCAACGTGCAAGTCTGCTGCCCACACCTGCTTTACATTAATAGAAAGGGCCCCATTCAAGCTCTCTTATGAATCCACATGGATTCAAAATGGGCAGTTAGAGGGTGAAAAGGAGTGGAGTCATATCAGGGCCAAGCCTCCCATGCGGTACAAGAAAGCTTGCTGCCTCAGGTGGCAGATGGAAAGGGGTGGCACAAAGGGTGTTCTCCCTCCCATCTCGGACTACCTGAGCTCTGCCCCTCCATCCTGCTCCAGCGCTGGGCTCCTCCTCAGCAGGCAGACAGCCCCACGCTTGCAATCCCCCCAGATGCAATGCCCAGCATGATGATGTTATGTTGGCACTGCAGTTTGCCGGGCAGCCCTCCACGGCCACACGGGCTCAGGACCTGCCTGAAGATGCTGCACACTTCTTCCAAGATGCACTAAGGAAGAGGAAAGGTATGATGGGACCATCAAGGGGCTAGAGCAACTGCCCTTGAGGAGCAGCTACAACAATTGGGCCTGTTCAGCTTAGGAAAAAAGGTAAGGAAGGCAAGACATGACAGAGGTGTTCAAAATCATGCATGGTGCAGAGAAAGTAGAGAGGGAGACATTTTTCTCCCTCTCACATCATCCTTGAACCCAGGTTATCCCATGAAGCTGGTTGGTGGGAGGTTTAGGATGGATAAAAGAGAGTAATTCTTCACACGGCATGTCGTTAACCTATGGAATTTCCTGCCAAAGGAAATGCTGCTGGCTGCCAATCTGGATGGCTGTAAAAAGGGATTGGACAGATTCCTGAGGGAGGAGGCCATCAGTGGCGACTAGCCTTGCTGGCTGAGTGCTGTCTCCTTCACCAGAGGTGCCATGTCTACATGCTCCAGTTGCTGAGGAGCTTGAGCAGGAGGGGGCCTTGCGCCCATCCTGCTGGAGGGAACCTGCGGGCAGCGGGTTTGCCACTGTGAGTACGGAGTGCTGGACCAGATGGACCTGGAGTCTGAACCTGCATGGCTTTCCTGGTGTTCTCATGTGGGGGGTGGCCCTCGCTTGCCCTCCTCAGCCAGTGGGATCGTTTGAACCAGGCCTGATTAGTACACATTAAAGGATCTTGAGTGTGGACTCTGAAAACGAGACAATAACCCAGCCTGTGCATCATATGGATATCCTTTGTGTGTACACAAGTGTGTCCATGTGCATTTGTGATCAGCTATAAAGAGTTCAAGGACAAAGACAGACATTCATTTCACGACATTAAAAAGGATGCCTTTCTTCCTTCCCATGAACAATGCACTCATAGTGAACTGAACCACTACGGAAGAGCCGTGCCTCCGTGCATTTCGTTGCAGAGTTATATAGGCACCGATTCAGCGGCGTGCCGGCTCTTTGCAAGCACAGCGACATGAGGACTGCTTCGTATTGCGAGCTGCGTGGATGACCTGCCACCCGTGTGGTTGCCAGTGGTGCGGGGAAGCCTTGCGGTAGAGCTGCACATTACACAGAGCTGGGCAATCCTGCCTGTATGGCAACCCCCGTGACATCGACTCTGGATGTTGCTCCATGGAGATCTGCCTTCACGAGCCCAGTGCTGTCCAAAGGGGCTGCCCAGGCACTTTACGAGACCTACCTGCAGGTGCCCTGAGCTGAACATGGGCCTTCTGCGTGCAAAGGAGGTGCTTTCCCCCTTGCAAAGGAGGGGCCCCTTTCCCCTCTGGACGCTGGACCTCTGGTTCCAGAGGGATCCAAGGGGAAACGTGTGGCTAGAAAAGCTAATGATCCCCTAACGAAGCCTGCGCCTGGAAACAAAGCCACGCCAAGGCCCGAAGGTGCGTCCCTTTTCTGGAAAAGGGAAAGGCCAATTAGCTCAGGGATGATCACACTACTTTCATGGCCAGTTTCAGAGAAAAGTGTTCTGTTTTCAGAAGCGCTGCCTCCAAAACCTCAGTCCACATCTGACAGATTGTCATAGCAGAGGATTAAAACTAGAGAATACCCAAATGTGTGGTCATTGACTATGCATGACTTTCAGAGGATCAGGGATCTTCAGGAATGAGATATAGTCTGTGAAGTCCATCGTTTCGATGGTGGGTAATGAAGAAGGAAGCCCTGCATGGGCAGTTCTTCAGACTGCGCAACCGCTGCCCAAAGCTGCCTGTCGCACCACCAACATGCCTGCAAGGAGAGCCACCAGCTCACCTCCGTGCATGTCAGTGCTCAGGTCAACGATCAGATTATTCAGGTCACCATAATATATGCTAAGAAACCTCACACAGAAATCACGATAGCTCTTTATTCTTGAAGGAGTGTCTTCAAACAAAATACTCAAAGGGTGGGCACACGCCTCTCATGCAATTGACCGCATCATTCCTGAAAACACCTTGTAATGATTGTGTGTGTGTGTGTGTGTGTGTGTGTGTCTGTGTAACGAGGGGTCCCATCCTTTCCACCCACCCCATCTTCCTCACCTCCTCTTTCTCTCCAATATGCTATCCTCCAAAATACTCCGCCGCCTTTAGCAGAATCGGCTATTTTTGCTTCCTGTAAATCCCTCCCCTTTTTGGGGATTGCGAAATTGCTGTAAGTAATTGAGTCTCTCTGCATATTAATGAGCTTGAGGAAAAGGCAGCAGGAGCTGTTTTAAAAGAGGAGGAAAACGGCTGCGCTCAGGCAGAGCAGCTGAAGCGGACGGGACTGGGGAGCGGCGGCGGCGGCGGCAGCGCGGGCGCAGCGCAGCGCGGGGAGAGGCGAGGCGGTCCAAGCAGAGCCACAGGCTGGCAGCCGAAGCTGCCTTCTGAGCGAAGCGCAGGGGCGCAAGAGGGAGCCGAGCATCCAGCCCAGCCCCGAGCGAGCACCTCTCTGCAGGGGCTCTGCGAGGTCTTCTCACCATGAAGCTCCTGACAGCGGTCTTCCTCTTACTCGTCCTTGTCATCTGCTTTGCCAGCGTAGAAGGTAAATTCCAGGTTATTCACTAACCATCCATTTCGCAATTCCCCCTCTCCCTCTCTCATTTCACTTTGCTGCTCGTTGAAATAGTGGCTTGAGATGCTTTTCTGCACTGAAAGGGACGGGCACACTGAACTTTATTGGAAAAAAAGTAATAGGCCAAACATCTTCCTTCCTTCTTTCTTTCTAAAATCATTTTGCAAGATTTTGAAAATGCCAGCTAAACAGATGGGCCGACTTGTGCCCCTGCTTCCACTGTGCATTTCAGTTTCTGAGCTACAGTGGGATGCATTTCCGTCACGTACACTCGAGTATGAGCTTCTTTGGGATGATGCGATCCGGCGCATCCAAGCACAATGGGGAAAGTGAGCAGAACTCGAACTGGAGTGCCTCTGGGCAGATTAGGAAGTCCACGTAGTTTTGGCTTCGTGGTCTCACCGGTTTTTTTGGAATTTGCCAGTCTGATGTGTACCTTCAGTTTTGTCAAACTCAGTGTTCTTTTTCCATTTTTAGAAGGAAAAGCGCTGAATCAGTCTGAAAGAATTCAGGAGTCCTTCTGTTCCTTTTGAAGGCTTGCCCAAAGAGAGGAAATGTATACCAGTGATCTTTGCCCATCAGTTTTGTGTTATTTCCATTTAGTTTTTAGTTTATGTCGGTCACCATGTTTGATCACAGACGCTTAATAGAAGGACTGCCACATGGCTTCAAACACAAAACACTGCTGATACGTTCATGCCTACTTACAGCTTTACTCCTATTGAACTCAGTGGGTCTTACCTCTGAGTAGAATGCAGAAAATGGTTGTATATCCCACTGACTTCAATGGAGTTTAAGCAACCTAACCATCATGCTTGATGCATTACTATCTGGATAGTATATCCTTGCACTATGTTTTGCACTGTGTTCTTTAGAAATCCAACAAGTCTAAATAAAAAGTTATTTCATCTTTTGTATTAAACTGTAGACAGATCAAGCTTTCTACAGGTGTTATGACAGTTGATGAATGAACATATTAAGGAGTATTGGGGGCAATGATAAAAATATAGGATATGAAATGGCTTTCATATACGAACGGGTAAATACTTTTTCTTATAGGATCAAAATGCAAGTGCTTAAGAAAGGGCCCCAAGATTAGATTCTCTGATATTCAAAAACTTGAAGAGAGACCAAAGTATCCGTACTGCAAGGAAAGAATGATAATGTAAGTCCGCCTTTTTTCAAATTCCAGATACGTTTACAACTCTCAAATTGTTTTTTTGCAATGTTTAAAATCATAATAAAAAGGATGTCTGTTGCAATTTCCATTGCTGACACATTCAGCACAATTAGAAACTATTCTGAAAATGCCCCCAGCTTTCAGTGTCTTTGAAATTGTAACAATGCAATCCTTTACATGGCTACTCAAACATTACTTCTACTGAGTTCATTGTAGCTTACTCCCAGGTAAGTGGGTTCAAGACTGCAACATAAACCTGTTTAGTCTATATGTTGTGAGAAGGGAGTCTGAGGTTTCTTAAAGTAATTTAAAAGGTTGCTTATATAGGTCTATGTATTTCTAATGCTGTCTCTCTGTGTGTGCATACATGCATTGGTTTGAATTCAGATTTAAGCTGAATTGACTGCTGGTGAATGTAGCCTTTCCCCAACCTCCTTCCCAGAGCAGCGCCCCCCCCCCCCAGTTCCCTGCAAATGCAGTACCAAGGTTACAGAGACCCTGGTGAGTGGGGTGAGCTTTGTTGTATGGGGAAGGGGAAGCATCAAAATCAGAGAGAAGGACCTTCCACAAGTATGGCTTTGGGGTTTCCCATGGGCAGTTGGCTGGCTACCGTGAGGATGGGAAGGGATGGGATGGAGACCTTTGGTCTGATTCCGCAGGACTCTTCTTGTGTACTTAAGTGGAGCTTTTCATAACACAGAAGGCCCTTCCTTTCATGGAAGGAAGATCCTGGATCCAGACCATGGTCGGGGTAAGTGAAAGTGACTTACTTTCACAGACCCAAGTAGTCAAAATGTCAAGCATACAAGGCTTTAGTTGTGTGTAAGTGCCTCAATCCGATCTTCTTCAGCACGGTTAAAACAGTGTAATTATGTGCAGGGCTGCCATCCTGTGTCTTCTTGCTTGGGAGAAAACCCCGCTAAGCTTAGTGGGGCTTACTTTCATGTACATCTCAGTTGCATAGGAGGAACTCCTCTTAGTGTAGTAGAGTAACTAGTTTCAATAAATCAAAGCACTTAGTCTCAATATAAACATTACCTCTATCTCTTTGGGGACATGTTTTAACTAGCATTACCCTAAATGAGATCATTTCAATAGAAAGATACATTGTTATAATGCAAAATTAATACCCACCACCTCTTTTCACAATGCAATGGCATTTGTCAGAAATGTGCCAAACAATTTAATTTATTATTAAATAAAGCCACTGCCACATCTCTCGGGATGCCAGTTTGGGAGCTCATTATGACATAACAAGTTATGTAAGAAGTGCAACCAAGTTGTTCCTGCCTAGAAAGAAGAGGGAGCAGTGAGCTTCATCCCATGGTTGGCCTGTTTGAGTCAAGTGATCCTAGAAACACAACCAACCTGCTCATGCCTAAAAGCCCTCTCGGCAGTTCAATGCTGCCCCGAAGAAACCTGTTTTCTTCCCAATGGTAAATTAAATTCCGGAGGTGGGGAGCCCCATATAATCTCTGTTGTGATGAGACGGAGCTGGTCCTTGCAAGGTTTTCTGAAACGCTGTTGACTGGCCAAAGGATGCAATGCCAGACAACTGGCGGCTTGTTGTACCCATGCAAGTCAGGAAGCACCTGTACGTTCAGAACACCTCCCATGGCCAAATCAATCCCCAGCTGCAGCATTAAGACCCTCTCAGTTCGTGGAAAGCAAAGAAACATCCGCCATGTTTCCACCACGTTCTAGCTTGGCTCGAACTGCCATTTCAATGGAATTGACTCATTGCAGAAATAAGAAATGCTTGGTACGTGCCTGCTGGTAAAACTGCAGGAAATGACCAGAATGGCATCTTTTATCCTGCTGGACTTTGCCAGTGGTGTTGTTTTCTCTGCATTGTAAATCACAGGCTTCCCTGTTCCAGAAGCATGATTGCCATTCAACTGCAGTGGCGCCTCGTACCGTCACATCTGTCCCCAGGTCTCGTAAGTTCCCTGGCAAGTCATGAAAGATATAAGATCATAACTTATAATGCATAAACATTCTATTTATACATTGCCATTCCCAGATGGAGTCTGTTTCTCCACCAAACCATGTTAGACCATATTCTCTACTGGACTTCCATAATTTTAGAGAAGTTGGCTATCGTTTGGGTGTGGCAGGGGAGAAGGAGACTTATCAGTCTTATTCACAAGATCCATTAATCCCAATACACTGATCTGATACCCATCTTGAGCATCGTGAAAAACTTTCACATCATTTCTCCTATCAAAATACCAAAGCATGAGACAGATTTCCAAATCACAGTCGTTGTAATCCCTTACATCCTCTCAGTACAAGTCCTACTAGGTACATACTACAGGTCCATCTCTTCATAAGGAAGGCACTAGCTTCATCTTTTTACTTAATACGCTCCTATAGTAGGCACTTATGAGAACGATCCAACCGATCATATCACCCTAATCCATCTACATCCATATTTAAGGAGAAACTTGTTATATGGGACCACTTAGTTTGCTTTTCCACATGGTTCTTCACTTCAAATGCTTTGCCCTTAACATTCCTATTAACTCTCAGCAGATGTTCTGTTGCAGCCATTCATTTTATGAGTTGATTCTGCACTGCATGCTGCTCCAATTCACATGGAACCATTTCTGAGCTTAATTTCAGAATTGCACAGCTCAACGTTCACATGTTGCTGTGTATTTTTTCTTAAGGGTGACTAATACTCCGCAGCACATGTTCCTCAATCAGCATACTGTGCAAAAGAAGGACTTCCTTCAGTTCTGTGACTGTATCAAGATTCATTCTTGGAGTGTGCATTTAATGAATGCACTTATGTGATTCTGCACATTAGTAGTCAGTAAAAATAGAATAAGTAGAAATAAAACCTGAAAATAGAAGCAAGCTACACATGTGCAGAGTTCTACCCACATCCAGGGAATATGCATAGAATGAAGGTGGTTTGCCAGTGAATGAGTGCTGTCCTGCAAGCAATGTCAGATAATTTAGAATTTAAGGAGGATGAGAGAGTGTGCAAACTTTCTTAGCTTATTTTGTCTCAATGAACTTTTTCCTCTGCTCTGAAGGAGAGCTCTACATCACCACACTTTCTTTAATGGCTCTCTAGCTCAGTCAAGTTCAATCAGCTTGCCATGAACAGACACAGCTGTTATAAAATGGTGCACTTAGGATTCTGCAGAAGATAAAAAAATTCAGTGCAGCTAGATTCAGAGTTTTAGAATGCAAAGCAAATCCTTCCTTCCCTGTTTGAAATGACTCTCCTTGCTTGACCAAAGTGGTAGCTGATGCTATGCATTAGCAATACAACATTCAACTCCATGAAAACTCATAAAAGCACAGTAACGCAAAGTGCATTCAGCACATCACAGTTGCCAGTCATGAAACCAACACTCATCTGGCCAACAACAGTATAAATGGAAAATACTTCTGTGGCAACAGCAGAATAGAATACAAGAAGTAGTTCGAAAATTGCCTTTTGCACAACGACAGCAACAAAAGTTCTTGCATCTGGATGAAGCCAAGTCAGTGAGGTTGCCAGATGTGCTTGTAGCGTATTCTTTCTAGGGAAGCACATCCAGTGGTGTGGCTAGCTAGCACTGAAATGGCTACCCAGAGGGTGACCCGCAATGGGGACAGCAGAGCAGCAGATTCCTGTAGTAATGAGGGTGCAAAACAGCACGATCCTATGCCCTCTTATGCTGGGCATTGGATACCCTTTTCTGTCTAAATAGGCATAGGATTCCACCTGAAGTACCTTTTCAATGCCAAAGCTGTAGATGCTCAGTGTTTTGTTTTTTAAACTGGGGTTGGTAAGCAGGTTTTTCTTGTTACTATTCTGAACTCTCCCAGCTGTATCTTTTATTCTGAGCTTTATGCAGGCCATCCCCAAAACAGGTTTATAGGAACACGACTCCTATAAAGCTCAGAAGAAAGGCTGTGCGATGGATAAGGAGCTCCATGTGCATGCAGTTTTAGAGCATGGAATAGTGCTGGGGAAGGACAAAGAGACACGCGCGTGTGCTTTGCAACTAACATTGTCCAGAATCTAAAATGACCTTGTACTCCTACAGTGTGAGATTCTGGGTGGGAAAGGTGGTGGCTTGGCCAGCAGGGCAGAGGCAGAGAATTTTCTGGCTCCCTTGCACTAGGATCCAGGCTGAGAACGCGGACTCCGTGGCCAAGGAAAGGGTCTGTCCCTCCCCTCTCTGCCCCTTTCCTCAGCGCAAAACACGAGCCAGCGCTTCTCCGCGAGCATCAGGAAACGGGTGTTCCAAGCTCCCTCCACACGGGCCACTGTGCCAGTGACCTCCTTTCCTGACAGGTCCTTACAAATTCGCAAGCTCCCACAAGGTGCGGAGGTAGCAGTTTCCCACTTACGTCTCCATTACATCAGTAGCCCAGAGCTGACAAAAAGTTCAGAAACGTGCATCAGCATAACAAAAGCCGTGCGAGGCTTTCCTGCCCGAGCGAGCGCCGCTGGCTGCCAAGGACTTCAGTCTGGGCCGCGGAGTTTGCTGCCTGATGGGAAAACCAAACAGCAGCGCGCTCCCACAGACGAGGTGCCAGCAGAAGCTGGATGCTGAAAGCCCGCGAGCGACAATGGGCAGCTTTTCCTCGGACGGGGACGGGGGAGACGTGCGCTCCAGGGCTGCGGCGGCTCGGCCAGATTTGGCAGCCGAGGGGAGGCAGAAGCCGCGAGGTACACATGTAAATGAAAGGCCCATTAGGAAATCTCTCCACTCTCGGTAGAAAGCATCAATAAAACACACACAATTAAGCCCCCTTCGGTGTGGCGTCCTCCATATGAATCAGGAAACATCGAGAGCAAACATCTCTCTCTGCTCAGCATTTTAAAAGCGCCCGACATATTCTGTGTCCCAGACACTTCCAGGCAATCCCAAACATTTATGACCTTCCTTTCGTTTCCCTTGCTTTCTCTTCCTCCCTTGCTTGCCACACACAAACACACATTTTACTTAAATACTTAAATAAGCTGCAATGCTACATTCATTCATCTGGGACTAAGTCCCTTGCATTCATTGGGGCTTATTTCTGAACAGACATATATAGGAGCGCTCTGTTTAAACCAATTCTATGTGTTGCATTGCATTTAACTGAATCATGGATTATGAACTTTCCAAGCGCCATCTCCAAAGTGATGCATACTTTTGGGTATTCTTATAATGCTGATTGCTGCATTCTGCTTCAATGCAAAAGCATGGCAAGCTTTCCAAATAGTCCTCTCCAGACCTTTTGCATAAAATAATATTACACTCCTTCAGTGAAATGTTTCAGGGTGAAATAACACCTTAATTGAAGTGTTCCATCTTGGCAATGTTTTCTTCTTCTTTTTTTTTTTTTTTGGACAAGAATCAGACGTGGTTATAAATGGTAGATTTTCTGTACTATCTGTGGTCATAAAGCAGAAGCAACTAAAATATATACATAAATTGCATATGCACCAAAAGATGCGTATAAACTAAAGGGGCTGTTGCTCATGGATGGTGTGAATTGCTTTGCTATAAAATGTTTCATTCTCAGCTAAGGAATGTTAAGGAGTACGGCTGGAAAACATATTATATTATTATTATTATTATTATTATTATTATTATAACATTTCTATGCCGCCCCTTGCCAAAACCTCGGGGCAGCTTACAACATGATAAATATCAGATTAGATTACATATATGAGAGCTGGATGCCGAGGTCAGAAGATAGATAGCAAGAATCGTTATTCACTTGACTCGATGCGAGACTGTGTTGGGATGCAGGACTTGAGGGAGCCCTAGAGATGAGAGGCGGTTGAGACAGTGGGAAGATGAGCAGGCAGAAGATGGGAAGGTGGGATCTAGAGCAAGTCCTTACATGACAGAATGCTAGCACTTGCCAGCTGCAAACCAAGCTGACTGCTGCCCAGGCAAGAAACAAGCACAACATGGGAGCCCTCTGGCAGCTTTAACAGGTCAAGGGAAACAAATAGGCTGCCTGTGTTGAACAGAGCTATCCCAGAGCCTGGAAGGACATGGCGACTTCTATTTCCAGCCCCCAAAGCTTATCACACTATCCACATGGCTATCGTACTCTACCAAGGGTGGGCTAGATGCATAAGAGAGTGTTCTGTAAGATCAAAACGAATCTGTCGAGCATCTGGAAGGATGCCTGGGGTGATCCATGCTTGCTCATATCCCAACCCACTAATGACTGGTTTGGTCAGCCGGCCGTACTGATTGCCAGTTTGGCAGGAAGAGGACTGCACCCAGATTTGCCTTTCTCCAGTTCCCAAGCAAATGATTACAGCTGTTGAGGATGAGGACAGCAACAATCTGTTCTGTGCAGGACGCGCTCCAGGCAGGTACAGCTGGAATGCTTAGGGAGATTCTATAACATCACATCCAGCCCAGATAATTGGCACTGGAGGCATCCAAACCACAAGAAACAGTACAATGTAGCGTCTGTGCCCTGGGAAATAGAACACTGTGCAGGACCAGTTCGACAAACAATTCCTAGGTTCAGGCTGTTACCGGTTTTGCTTCTAAGCATTCTTGCTCATTAAAATTATATGCTGTGCTGCCCTTTCAGCTTCTTTTTCATTGCAGAGTCACAATGAAATCCCGATTCCGAGGAGGCCATCAATACTGCTTGCATCCTAAGCTCCCAAGTACAAAAAGGTTGCTCAAGTGGTATACAATATGGAAAGAGAAAGAAAGGTGGGTATTTTTAATCATATTCAAGAATGGACAGCCTCTTGTCCTTATGGGCGAGATGGATTTGGGTTAGCAACATGGGTTAATTTAGGCACAGATATTCCTGCCTAACTTCAGTGCTTGACCTGTACTTGCAGTGACCTATGATATCGCCAATGGCTTTTGGTCTGTAAGTACAGATTCGGGATAACTTGAAAGGGAAAGTGCTCTGTCAAACTAGATGTCATGCTAAAACAAGTCTAGCATTTCACACGCCAGCATAGCTTGTGGACTGGCATGTTTCTGCTGAAGTGGGTTTTGTTCAAGTGCTTGATGTATTTCTGAATGAATGGAATAGGGATACATCCAGGGCAGCGCATGGTTCTCAACAACAGGTAACCAGATCCCACAAATTGATTAATCCAAGGTATTAGAGATGAGATGGATTAAGATGACATCAGTCCATGAACTCTTGACTTCCTAAAGTGTAGGGATATGCAAATCAACTCAAAACTCAAGCTTGCCAAGATTCCCCAAATTCCACCCTGAAGCTGGTTTCAGGGCCGCAGCTACAACTGGGGAGTGGCGAGCAAGGAATGGGGCCCTGCTCAAGCGTGAAGCTCACCAGCAAGCCTGTCATTTTGCCTCAGTCTAATCCACCTCACAGGATTTTTGTGAATACCAGGAGGAGTGATCCTTGTGCAATATAGAAAGAGAAAGAGAGGTGATCCTGGGTTTCTTTGACAACAGAAGGGAGGGATGCAGAATTAATACATTCCAAATACCAAATCAGGAAGAGAAAAGGATACATGGCCAATGTCAGCCTGCCCCAGAATGGAAATCACTTATTCTGATCTATGCTCCGCAAAGGTCAGTAGGACTTAACTTCCTACTAGTGAAACTTACTTTCGATCTGTTCCTCCATGTCATGTTGGCAGCATTGCCTAATTATCTGCCATCATTTGTGCCACAGTCCTTTGGAAGCTGGACAGAAAATGATTGGTACTACTAAACAACTATTATGCAACCTCATTTTCCTGTTTCCTCAAAGCTGACCATTTAAATAAGGAAATAGAACATGCAAGCGATACTAAGAATCTGCCTTAAGGTGACAAATGGGAAGACATGTCAGACTTAAGCCTACCTAAGAAGTCCAGATGCCGTCTCCCCTCCAGCTGTGATGTTAGGTGATAATAGCACTGCCCGGGGCCTCAAGTTTCATTCTTAATATCTGTGTTTCAGACCTATTACATTCAGTTTGTCTCTGACACATCATTGTGCCTTGCTAAAAAAAAAGAAAAGTAACAGAACAGAAAGCCGAACAACCCACGGACAACAGAAGTTCCATTGCCTGATCGGAAATAGCTTTATTCCCCATGTCAGCCTACATGTACACGAGCAGCCCTGCCATTTATCCCAGTCTAAAGGGTCATGCTCGCATTCTTGTTTAACTGCATAGGAATGCTTACAAAGTATCTGAAACTACTGAGTGGGAATAATGAAGATGGTGTTGTTACAAGCACTGCAAGAGCTCAGGAGCAACTCAGATGGAGATGCTATGAATGATCCCTCTATCCAAGGGCACTTGAATGACTGGAGGAAGGCTTTAGGGTCCCTATGTAACCCACTTTAGTTTTGCAAAAGAGCGCGCAAGAATCTCTAGCCTTTCTAAGAGTAGGAATGTATCAATTTTGCTAAATCTGTTCCATCCATATTATGGATTGTCAGACATCTTTCGTCAGAAGCTCATGAGCGAAATCTGGTGTTTTCCTTTCTTTCTTTTTTTAAGGGATGCACAAGAATGTCAAGTGTGCATCAACACAAATGCAAATTTGAGCACATTCTCCCTGAAAGTAAACCAAAACAAACAAAACCAGAGTCCACGTGCAATCTGCACGCAAGTTGCATCAATTCAGAATCCGTAGGTCAGTGTCACAGAAATCCACACTCTCTCACATCTCTACCTAAGCGCAAAGGGCTCTTGCCTCCATAGTGGGGATCAGTAGACTGCAGCTCTGATTTTGATTTCATTTGGACCTCCGCAAACAATCAGTTCAGGCCTCTAGACTTCCATGGAGCAGCTTGCTGGATGGAGAGGCAGATGTGGGAGAAAAGGCAGCATCAAAGAGAGAAGGGGAGCTGGCAGAAACACACAGAGAAAGGATTGCACCAGCCGTACTAGGGCAAAGCTGCAGTTTCTGAGGCCATGCTGGCACAGCAGAGATAGTGAGAATTGGGGTTATTCTGCCTGCCCCAGTGCCGGCCTCTGCACCCCATTCTGGGCAAGGGGCTTTGGAGTGGCCTTTGATAAGCAGGCCATGGAGAGGAAGAATTCCCAGCCAAGGATTTTGTTAAAAGGGTGAGTTCACTGGCTAGGCTACTTCTTTGATTTTCATTTTGTAGAAACGTTGCCTTTCCATTTATAAGCACCCTTAAAGCCTGTGATCAAAACAGCATAACTGACATCCATAAAATCAAGTCATGTACTAGAGCAGATCAAGGAGAGAGCAGTGGCCTGTGCTCAAAGCAAGGAGCAAGGCTTGATGGGCCTGGATGTTCTGAAGCAGGTGAGCTGTTGGGTTCCCTGCTGTGCTTCTTGGACGGCTCCTCCTCTTTTGGCCCAAGCTTGTGCCAGAACACAAGCTGGCTCTCTGCCAGACATCCTGAGGTCCTGAACTCTGCAGGTTGGTTTTGGTCAGGGGTTATGATGGTTCGGGTGCCCAGTCTCTGAGAGTTTACCCACTTGCTTCAAATGAAAAGCACTGGAAGGCGTAGCCCTTCACATGCTCCGCGGAAGCCCTGCTTTGGTGGCTATTTATGACACGCCCTGTCCCAGAAAGGGAACTATAGCTCAGTTGCATTCGTGCAGCTGCCTTTCACTTGCAATCATGCAAGTACCACCTTTTCAGACTAGCCTTGGGATTTAGGGGAAGAGACGTTGTGCATGCAGGAATACAGCATTTCATTCTGTGCATTTGACTGGTCGCAATTGCTGGTGCCGTGCTGGCGCAGTGCTCCGAAGTAACTCGTGCATCGCCAGTATCCCCCAAATCTTCCCCGCATCACTTCCTCCAGAGATGAAAGAGCAAAGTAATTTCTGTTCCCCAGGTTAAAGAGCCAGAATAGGGTTGAGATTAAAATCCTGATCGTAGCCGTGTCCTTGGTTCTTTGTGTAGCTTGACTGAATAAAGGCTTTAGTAAAGAGCAGTGTCCTTCAGCCACAGGGTTCGCTGAACTCCAGCACACCTGCCCTGGGGTGAAACAGCAGATGCAGATGCACTTTTCATCACAAAGTGCTTGATTGCATGCTATCCTCCCTTGTAATACAAGCTCAAGGGACAGACAAACACTGAGCATGGAATCCAATCCCTCTGCTATAGAAGGTCAATGGGGACGAGCTGGACAGAGCCCACGGATTAGCTTATAAATTAGGTAGTGAGGCTTTTAAAGAGAAATGCAGGAAGGTCTGTGTGTTTCCTTCCAGAAATAATTCTGATCAGGCTGCTTTTGCTTGCATGGATAAGTTCAGCATCTTTCGGCCCTATTACGCAGTAGTTTAGTTTTGAAACTACAATCCTGTGCACACTTAACTGGGAGTTGGCACCACTGTACACAGTAGGACATCTCTCACATTAGATGCATACAGAGTGGCTGTGTAAAATATTTGAGCCAAAGGCATAATCTCACAAAGTGCTCCAGGGCTTTTCAGGGAAGGCAAAAGGGAAACGTATAACAAATCTATATTCTGTTCTTACAGAAAATCCATTCAGGCTGGAAATACGAAATAAGTGCATGATGCCCTTGGATTGTTAGCACTGGGGGCCCATCCCCTTGGAAGCACCCTGGGTGTTTTGCAAACTCCTGCTGTCTGTGCCATCCATCACCGCTGATGGAAAACCGCTTTTGAGTTGTTCTTAGTAGGCACTGGTGCCCACTGGGATGACCAACTCTTTGTATCCCCCTCCAGAGACTTGCAAAGCAGGCAGTGTGCACCAGGCATCTCCACACTTCTTGGACCAGTAGACCTAGTTCTAATTTTGAGAATGTTGTGGCCATTTTCACAAAATGGTTGCCATGGAAGGAGTCACAAATCATCTCTTCCACAGAAGGCAAATAGATATGAAGCTAAAAGAAAAGTAACTTGCTCAGGGACATAAAAACAGGGCTGAGATGAGGACTGAGTTCCAATATCCCAAACTTCTCAGGTGAACCCACAGTTTTCTGTCCTCAAGTCATTGCACAGAAGGCAAACTGAGGAAATACAGAGACAAGTACATTGGCCAAGAAACTAAGCACAAGACAGAGAAAGAGTCCGATCCCAAAATGCACAATCACTTATTTGCCTCCTATACAATTTCAATTACGCATCAGGGAAAGTGGGGGAAATCACCCCGCTGTATGGACCCCCCCCCACACACACACACAAACACACGCATGCAGAAAACACAGTGGAGCCTGGCATCATCTATCCTCTTTCCCCACCACCCTCTCTAGCCCTCAATAAAGCTCCTCCTCTCCCTGCCCCCACCCTGTCGCTCACCTTCTCCCCACTCTCAGCTGTGCTTCAGAATGAAGTGCTGGCCTGGAGACCCCCCCCATCATATTTTCTACAGATACCTCCAGAGCCCCCTCAGAGCTAAGCATAGCACTGCAGATGTGCATTCTTTTGTAGCATGTCAGCCTCTCAGATTTTTACAAAATTCATTAAATATTCCATTAAATTCATTAAAACATTCCATGATTTAATCATAATGCTGGGCAAAGGAGCCACAGGTTAAAAATATGCTAAGTTCAGAGCGTCATGTTATACAACATGCATGGCTGTATATTAAAAAAAAAAACTTAGTGTCTTGGAAAGGCATCAGACAGCCCTGCAAAAGATGTGCTCGCGAGGGCCTCACGCAATGCATCTCCTGACGTGCAACCTCAGGGCACTGGTATGGCTGCTCGCACCTTCCAGTTTTCCCCTGTATTGGTCTCAGATGCTCATCTCGAGGCTCAGTTGATAGCTAGGCAGTTCTTTT